CACACACACACACACATCCTTCTCTCATTCTCCACCCACCTTTCCCCTTAATATCTTGCTCCCTCTATACTACAGAAAATTCCCCGGAATAAAAACGTCATTCCATGAAAGAAAAAAGATCTATTATTAAAATTATCTTTCCATGAACTTCCATCTTAAATCATATCCTTCCACTTTCCAAATTTTCCGTCTTGCTGGGAACGTTTCCTTCCAAGATGGAATGGGGTTTCGCTTCTAATGTGAATTATATGTTAGAGATGGAATGAAAGACTGGATGAGTCCTTGAAATATTTTAACTAGACTATCATTCTATTTTAAGGAGTTCCTATCTACAGAAGGTCAATTCAATCTAAACTAGGAGAAATTTACTGTAGTAAAACGAAAGACTTATTACTAATTAAGATATGACATGAACTCGTCCTGACTTTCATTCCGTCTTGAACGGAAAACTCATTTTCAGACCGCAACTTGTTAAATAAAATGCACAATCTTAAATTTGAATTTGAAGGAAGATTACATATGAAAGGATTCACGCTGCAGACGTCCCAAGTTCCGGTCCCAGGGTCCCAAAACATCCCAGCCCCAGGCTGTGCCAGTAGGGTAGGTCGTAGGGTCCATAGGCTGAAGGGTCGTAGGTTGGTGGTAGGTGTCGGTATCGAAACGTCACAGGTCGGTAAAAGTCAGTCCGGTACCCGACAAGAGAAGTCCAGTACAGTCCAGTACAGTCCCAAGTCCTAGTTTGCAGCATGTCCCAGGAAAGTCCGGAAGCTACCGGGCCGACAAAATGATTGCAGCGGATAGGCCGCGGCCGACCGGTACCGGTCTAAAGCAGGCCAAGCCAAGTCAAGTCCTATATTTAGCTGCTACAGTGCTGCGGCTCATCACTTGTTCATTTGCAAAAAGCGGAAGCGCTGCAGCTGCTTGTGCGTTAAGGCAACTTGGGCCCTTTGCACCTGAAGGAGGAATGGGGCCCTCGAGAGTTACTCCATAGCTAGGGTAGAGGGAGATAGGAGGTAGAGCGGCCATAGCCGCCAAGTGTGAAGCTTACCTGAGTGGGTGTAACCAGGGCTACGATCTAGGAGGGAACAGAGAGAGAGAGAGAGAGAGAGAGAGAGAGAGGAGCCATAGCCGTCATCCGGATTGAGATCAGTTCTAAGAGTGTGTGTATGTGTGCGGAAGAGCCGCTGGAGACATAAACATTCCTTGTATAATAATGATAATTTTGGTGACGGCTTCCACATGTGTTGATTGTATCTCATCCTTGGCTTCTCAGTGTTCTCACGTGTGAACTCGCGTGTGAATGTTCACTGATGTTGTGAGGTGAAACTTGGTGAGAACTTGATTCATTTCATCTATTTTGGAATGATAATTTTTAAAGATGAAGTTCTTTTTTACATGAAAAATATTTTTCGTACATTTTCTTGTGGGGAATTTTTCTGTGGCGCCATTCTTCTTTTTCTCATCCTCCACCCATGCGCCTCTGTCTCTGTGTGTGTGTGTGTGTGTGTGTGTGTGTGTGTGTGTGTGTGTGTGTGTTGTCATATTCACTATACACTCAAAAAAGCATGACTGTGTGTGTGTGTGTGTGTGTGTCTCTATCTGTCTCTATCTCTCTCTGTTTCTGTCTTTCTCTATGACAAAACAAGGGGACATAGTAGACAGGGGTAATGAAAAATATAAATTCCGGTTTGGAAATGAAACAACGCCGAAAGTTCCTGCCCAAGTGGGCCAGCTCAGTTGATTGAGCACGTAAGTGGTATTCAGGAGGTGGGTTCGATTTCCCACGTCGTCCATTCGTTCCCCAGCAGACCCCTGTGATTCACTTCGGGTTCACCAGCGGAGAGAATTGGCTTGGGTCTCCTGGCTGATTGTGGAAAGTGACAGTCGCTTTCCAGCTCGCGCCAGGTGTTAGGAGCCGGGGTACTGTTCCCTGCATAGAACAGAGTTGGCGGAACCCATAACCCTTGGTGTGTCCATGCTAGGAAGGGTCCATATATACGAGGAAAATTTGAGTTAAAAAAATATACATAGTACATACAGTTGTCCGCCATATGAAGTTACAACTTATAAAGTTGAAAATTCCTTCTGAACATACATTCTTTGGCGGTACAATTTTTTTTTTTTCTGGAACTGCAGCGTCAGAGGCCCAGAGGGTAAAATCTGGGACTAGGTGGGACCGGAGATGCGGCATTTGGGTATAAGTAGCTTAGTCGTAGGATACTAGTATCATTCTGACATCTCGATTACCCCCTGATGAGGCCATACCTGGCGATGGCGGGAACCAGTAGGCGAGCTACGAGGCATTGTCACTCTTCGGGGTACTGTGTTGATCTGGTGGTGAGGGTGATGGTGCTAACCATAGCTTGGCTATGGTCGTCTCCAGTTCTGCTTGCTATATATTTTGACACTTCAATGATTTCGAGATAGGTTCGTGAGTTCTTGCGGTACTTCTTACGGTTATGCGTTGGCATTTTGGTCGGTCTTGCACTACCGTCTTCAGTCGAATAGAACGCCCGGTCATTAGAGCTGTATTGGGGGAAACTTTTGGACCAGATGCAGCGATAATGGCTGGGCGTTTTATTCGGGAGAAGGCGGTAGTGCTGTCCCCATCTTCCACATCCACATTCCACATTCCACATATATTCTTTACTACTGAGTTCAACCGTTCAACATCCTTTTTTTTTTTCTTTTTTTTTTTCCCTCTGTTTCTTTGTTTCCTTGATTTTTTTTTTTTCATTCCTACCTGGTTCCAATAGCCATAGACAGTGAGCCAATTTCGGAGATCCCGCGCCTTCTTGCCGGGAACAAACCGCAGCAGCTTCGGCCCAATTTTCAAAAAACTCAAGTATCCAACCTGTCATACCAACCAACGAGAGACATAACCAGAAAACTGTCAGAGGAGCACTGTTAGGGGAAAGAAGAAAGAAGGGAGAGAACTGGGGAAGGAGGGATAGAAGGAGGGAGATTTAGGGAGCTCAGGGAACAATACACAGAGAGAGAGAGAGAGAGAGAGAGAGAGAGAGAGAGAGAGAGAGAGAGAGAGAGAGAGAGAGAGAGAGAGAGAGAGAGAGAGAGAG